ATTGACGCGGATGGGCGGAGCTGCGGAGTGGACGGGCGGGACGCGTCCACGGGTGATGGATGAGTTGATGCACGGGTGGATGGAAAGTTTGGATTGGTTTGACGGTGGGATGGATGGGTGATGGATGAGTGGGTGTGTCGGTGGGTGGGTGGGTGGATGGGCCGATGGGTGGTGGGTGTGTGGGATGAGTTGGTGGATGGGCAGGTGAGTGTGTGTGGCGGGGGGGGGGGGAATTTGGTAGATGGATAGTGGGTGAATTCATTAAGTAATTAATTAATCAAATTAATTAATGCGTGGGTGGATATATGAACGAATCTGTGGTTGGATGCTTGAGTGGGTGAGCTTGTGGTGGGTGGGTTGACAGATGGATGCGTGAGTGGGTGGAGGAATATAAACATTAGTGCATGGATGGGTGCATAGATTAATGAATGGGTGGATGAATGAATAGATTAATGCCTGGTAGAAGGTTGCATAGCTTGGCAGTGGTGCGGATGAATGTAAAGGATGGCTCGATTCACGGTAGGATATGAAACAACCACGCGGTCGTCATTGTATATTTATACGCACAGAATATAAAAGGCATTGCATGTGGCTATGCACACGTTTGCAGATAGCCAGCAGCTTGGGCAAGATGCAGTCCAGCCGGGGTTGTCTTGGCATCAGAACCTCTCTGGTGAAAAGATTTGGCAGCTGAAAGCGCCAAGGTCTGGCTCCGTCGTAAGTGGCTCTGCATGTGTCAAGACACACACACACACATGTAAACACACACACATGTAAACACACACATGTAAACACACACATACACATTTAAACACACACACATGTAAACACACACATGTAAACACACACACATGTAAACACACACATACACATTTAAACACACACACATGTAAACACACACATGTAAACACACACACATATGCACACGAGTAAATGCAACAAAGACAAAGATCCCCCGCATAGCCTTCGCACACTGTTGGGGCAAGTGCAGTTAGCGAGTACCTATGAGGGCTGGCACGGCACACGAGGGGGTGGATGGCCAGCACCATGTTTAAATACACACACGTGTCAATATACACACACACGCGTGTGAATACACCACACGTGTAAATACACACACACACGTCTCAATACACACACACACACGTGTCAATACACACACACACGCGTGTGAATACACACACACGTGTAAATACACACACACACACCAGTGTTAATACACACACACGTGTCAATACACACGTGTTAATGCACACACACACCAGTGTTAATACAAACACACAGATGTATTGATACACATGTGTCAACACACACGCACACGTGTACATTGACACTCGTGTACATAGAGAGTTCACGCACGTGAACAGGAACCACAGCCATTGGGGCCGTCCATAAATGACGTCACCTAGGGGGGGGGGGTGGAGAAATGTGACGTCACATCAAAATGCCCAACTTTAAATAAATATGGAAAACACGTTCTACTTAATTAAATAGACTTTTTAATAAATGTTTTCTCTTACAACATCAGAGTGCAGCGCCACATTAAATACGCACTACAATGACAATAGTTTACAGCGATTTAAAGCATGTTTTAGTTTTTATGGGGGGGGGGGGGGGGCAGAGCTTTGTGACGTCATATTTGAGGGGGGGGTCTGACTTTTTATGACGCCGTGTGACGAAGGGGGGGGGGTAATAAATCGTCCAAAATCGCGTGACGTCATTTATGGACGGCCCCATAGCGAGAGGTAAACTGAATGCGCTATGCCGGGTGCGTAAACGTGTTTCGCGTCTAGCAGTCACCGCAGCCACGTCGAGACGATGTATACTGGACGTGGTGTGCCGGGCGTGACTGATAGGCCCTCGAGAAGACTGCGTGGACCATTTGACAGCCGCACAGAAGAAGACAAATCTCTCTCGGGTCGGCTCGTGCCGCGAACGCCTCCAGAGGGGCAAACACGTGTGTCAGATGCGCACGCGAACAACATAAATACACACACACGCACAGACTTTTGACTTTTAAACAACGTTTATTAGCCGCCAGCAGCAAAAGCACTGGAGGCGATTTCGATATGAAATATACGAAGTCACCAGCAACACAAATGAAAAGAAACGCTACAAATCCACGCGCTGTGGCGCTAAAAACACCGCGCACAACACGAAAGAAATGCCATGTGGTGGTGGTGGTGGTCATCGCGCACGCCACGGTGACGAGCGAGCGCTTCAGAAGGTGAACACCACGAGGGTGACGTCCACGCTGGTACAGAGAGGGTCTCTGTGTGTGAGTCTGTGGGTCTCTATGGGTGAGTGTGTGGGTCTCTGTGTATGTCTGTGGGTCTCTAAGGGTGAGTGTGTGGGTCTCGGTGTGTACATCTGTGGGTCTCTATGGGTGAGTGTGTGGGTCTCTGTGTGTACGTCTGTGGGTTTCTATGGGTGAGTGTGTGGGTCTCTGTGTGAGTCTGTGGGTTTCTATGGGTGAGTGTGTGGGTCTCTGTGTACGTCTGTGGGTCTCTATGGGTGAGTGTGTGGGTCTCTGTGTGTGAGTCTGTGGGTCTCTATGGGCGAGTGTGTGGGTCTCTGTGTGAGTCTGTGGGTCTCTATGGGTGAGTGTGTGGGTCTCTGTGTATGTCTGTGGGTCTCTATGGGTGAGTGTGTGGGTCTCTGTGTGTGAGTCTGTGGGTCTCTATGGGCGAGTGTGTGGGTCTCTGTGTGAGTCTGTGGGTCTCTATGGGTGAGTGTGTGGGTCTCTGTGTACGTCTGTGGGTCTCTATGGGTGAGTGTGTGGATCTCTGTGTGAGTCTGTGGGTCTCTATGGGCGAGTGTGTGGGTCTCTGTGTGAGTCTGTGGGTCTCTATGGGTGAGTGTGTGGGTCTCTGTGTATGTCTGTGGGTCTCTATGGGTGAGTGTGTGGGTCTCGATGGGTGAGTCTGTGGGTCTCTGTGTGTACGTCTGTGGGTTTCTATGGGTGAGTGTGTGGGTCTCTGTGTACGTCTGTGGGTCTCTATGGGTGAGTGTGTGGGTCTCTGTGTTCGTCTGTGGGTCTCTATGGGTGAGTGTGTGGGTCTCTGTGTCTACGTCTGTGGGTCTCTGTGAGAACCCGGTTTAAACCACCGCGGTTTAACGGTCTGAAACTCGACATTGAACCCAGGATCGCTCGCTCGAGCCGGACGCAAAGTTTCACCCCCCCCCCCACCACCTCGTGTCACCTGTACGTCTGTGACGAAAGAGCTTGGCAGCTCATCGGATTCCTCCAGCGTGACTGAATATTCTCACTCTGGGCCACTCCACTGCTGGATGAGGCGCCTCTCCGCGCGGGCGTGACCTCGTGCCAGCCCCGTGCGTCCGCAGAGGCACGGGCCAGCACGTCCGTTCACGTGTGTGTGGGTCTAATTACACTGGTCAACAAACTTTTTCTGGCATAAGGTATTCCAACGGTTTTAATGTAATTTTGGGGTGCCTGATTCCAAATCTGGCATCAGTTTTTGTCTATCACATCAGGTTTTTGAGATATGTCAATATTGCATTTTCAATAAAAACTGCAGAAGAAAAATATTAAATAAATGTGGATATCTACATAAAATTATACTATAAGCACACTATCCTAAAAATACAGCACCATATTTTAACACTAAAGCAGTCACTGACTCGCAACAACTTGTAATCATAAGTGACAAAGTTAATTTCGGGTAAAATCAATGAAAATGGGGTATGCCGATAGCATAAAAATGAGATGTGATAGAGCAAATCTGAGATCAGATTTGGAATCAGCACCCTGAAATTAGTCTAGAACAGCTGCAAAAGTCCAGGCCAGAAAAATATGTTTTTTTTGTTGACCAGTGTAATAATACTAGTACATTCATTTACTCATTAAGATTGAATTATTTATCGGGGAAAGACAGGGGTTCCTGCCGCCTTAAATTTTCTTATATTTGCCAACGTTTTCACGCAAACGAACGACGGAGTCGCGTCTGTTGTTCGCGTGGGGAGGACGAGACCGCAGAAACCGGAGAGACACGCCCCCCCCCACCCCCACGCGCGACGGCGCGCTCCGCGAGGGGGCAACGCTCGATCCCCGTACAGATGGAGCAGACTGATGGCGATTGGTCCACTCGCTGTAGCGCCCTCTCCCGGCGAGCCAAGGGCACGGCTTCTTGTCCACTCCTCCCCTCCCCCCCAACATGGGAAGGTGAGTTTCGGAACATTCGTGCGGTGATCCACCAACCTTCGGCATCGCTGGATGACGGGCAGTCACGTGCAGTGTTATTCCCACCACCACCACCACCACCACCACGTGTGTGTGGTGTGCGTGGTGTGTGTGGTGTGTGTGTGTGGTGTGCGTGGTGTGTGTGGTGTGTGTGTGGTGTGTGTGGTGTGTGTGGTGTGTGATGTGTGTGATGTGTGTGGTGTGTGTGTGGTGTGCGTGGTGTGTGTGTGGTGTGTGTGTGGTGTGTGTGGTGTGTGTGTGGTGTGTGTGGTGTGTGTGTGGTGTGTGTGTGGTGTGTGTGGTGTGTGTGGTGTGTGTGTGGTGTGTGTGGTGTGTGTGGTGTGTGTGTGTGGTGTGTGTGTGGTGTGTGTGTGGTGTGTGTGTGTGGTGTGTGTGGTGTGTGTGGTGTGTGTGGTGTGTGTGTGGTATGTGTGGTGTGTGTGGTGTGTGTGTGGTGTGTGTGTGTGGTGTGTGTGGTGTGTGTGGTGTGTGTGGTGTGTGTAGTGTGTGTGGTGTGTGTGTGGTGTGTGTGGGGGGGGGCAGTGCGTGGTGTTATACGGCTTGTGAGTGCATTCATCGAAGTTGTGGATGCATGGCTGTGTGGGTGGGTTCCAGGAGGCAGGGCGAGGAGGAGGAGGGGGGAGACGTGAAGCTGTGAACCAGCAAGACGGCGTTGTAAGTTGGAGGAGGAGAGGCTGGTAGCGCGTGGGTGGGGGGGGGGAGTTGGGTTTGAAGGCTGCTTGATGGTGGTGGAGGGAGGGATGGGAGGGAGACAGAGAGAGAGGGAGAGAGAGGGAGATGGTGGGTGGGGGGAGCAGAAATGACCGCTGCTTCGGATTAATGTTGAGTCGGAGCGGCAAAGCGGCACGAGGACATCGCTCCTACACACGTGCTAGTTTACTCACCACCACCAGCAGCAGCACCAGCTCACCACCAGCTCACTCTACCCACAATCTCGCCGGTCGCACGCGTTCTGTCTCTCTCTCTGTGCCCGCGGCTGCTGCTTGCTGCTGCTTGCTGCTGCTGTTGCTTGCTGCTGCGTCGCGCTCTGCAAATCGGTGACACCTCCACCCCTTTGGCAGACTACAAACAAACGCCCACCACTTGCTGGTGGTGTTGTTGTTACGTTACCTATCTCTGTCCCTCTACGACATTTATCCTGACGTCGTCGTCGTCGTTGTTGTCGAAATTGAAGATTAACGTTAGAATTTTTATTTTTAAAAACCTCCCGTGGTTTTTAATTCTACATTTTTGTTGTATGTTGGGCCATCAATTTGCTTTTTTGTTAAACGGCGGATACAGCTCTGAATAACAATAATACTGGCAGCAGATCTCGGCTCGTAGGAGAGAGAGCGAGAGAGCGAGAGAGAGAGAGATCTCTCTCTGTCTCTTATAGCACGCGCCAAAGGCTGCACGCTACTCAATAGAAACGCGGACAGCATCACAGAGACATCAGCAGCAGCAGCATCCGATGTGGAGGTTTCTTCTTTCAGCCGCGGAGCGAGGATTAACGCGGGCAGGACATCTGATGCAGCCACTCCAGTGAGCAGCACGAGACGCCGAGGTACCCGCATTCACCATCGCTCGCTCGCTCGCTCCCTCCATCAACGTCGTCTCACGCGTTCGGAGCGGTGGCGCAGTGGTTAGCGCGCTGCGTTACGGGGGACGCAAGCAACACGTGTGTGGAGTTAGACTCGCGGCCACGGCTAACGGCAGTGGCGAGTCGTATCTGTAGTGGTTCGTTCCAGGTTGCCTCTTTCGTTGAGCTCCCACCGACCTGCGTGGTGAAGTATGGTCAAACAACCGCAATGGGCGGAGTCTTCAGCACACCGGTGGGCTAAAGAAGTGAATTATTTTGTCCTTTGAAAAACGTGACACATTTTTTACTGATTGGCCGTGTCGGGTGGTGGAGGGTTACGACACATTTATAAATAACGCGATCTGACCCAAACAAAAAACACCTATATTATGAATAATATTGGTCGCGAAAGCCTACGTGTTAAAAATGGTTGTATTTTGTGATTTTTTTTCAGTATTGTAAGATTATCTCGTTAGAGTTGGGAAATGTTCTGTAACAATCTAAAAAATCTATTTATAAGTCGGTTGCAATTGCGAGGGAAGCCACAACGAGTCTTGAGACGCTTGTAAAGCACTGGCGATGTTTGTCCAATTCCATTTAAAATGAACGTTAAAGACCCAGTGGCATCATTATTCAGCCCTTTCTCGATCCACTGCTTGATGAACGCCTCCCCACGTAGTGTCAATTACTGGAGTTGGTTGGCCATAAATAAGCTATGCATCGTCGACAGATAGGCAGTTAGTCATGGGTCTCTATGCGAGTCTGTGGGTCTTTATGTGAGTCTATCGGTCTCTGTGTGAGGATGTTGGTCTCTGTGTGAGTCTGTGGGTCTCTATGTGAGTCTATCGGTCTCTGTGCGAGGATGTTGGTCTCTGTGTGAGTCTATCGGTCTCTGTGTGAGGATGTTGGTCTCTGTGTGAGTCTGTGGGTCTCTGTGTGAGTCTATCGGTCTCTGTGTGATGATGTTTATCTCTGTGTGAGTCTGTGGGTCTCTGTGTGAGGATGTTTATCTCTGTGTGAGTCTGTGGGTCTCTATGTGAGTCTGTGGGTCTCTATGTGAGTCTGTGGGTCTCTATGTGAGTCTATCGGTCTCTGTGTGAGGATGTTGGTCTCTGTGTGAGTCTATCGGTCTCTGTGTGAGGATGTTGGTCTCTATGTGAGTCTATCGGTCTCTGTGTGAGGATGTTGGTCTCTGTGTGAGTCTGTGGGTCTCTATGTGAGTCTATCGGTCTCTGTGTGAGTCTGTGGGTCTCTATGTGAGTATATCGGTCTCTGTGTGAGTCTATCGGTCTCTGTGTGAGGATGTTGGTCTCTGTGTCAGTATGTGGGTCTCTATGTGAGTCTATCGGTCTCTCTGTGATGATGTTTATCTCTGTGTGAGTCTTTGGGTCTTTATGTGAGTCTATCGGTCTCTGTGTGAGTCTGTGGGTCTCTGTGTAATTCTGTGGGGCTTTATGTCAGTCTGTGTATCTCTGTGTGGCTCTGTAGGTATCAGTGTAAGTCTATGGATCTCTGTGTTAATCTATGGGTATGTGTGGGTCTCTATGTGAGTATGCAATGTGGATTCACATCTCAATGTGATTGCATCTAAAGACGCTGCGAACAGGAACAGTAGTCATGTTTGTTGCACGGAGCGAGAGAGAGAGAGATGGACGGGTAGTGACTCATAAAGTGATTCACACATTACAGGAATTCTCGCCGACCTCACAAGCAATATCCTCCTCGTGTGAACACGGCTGCTGTTGACGAGCCCTACGCTCAGTGGTGGCTACACGTGACAGATGGACGGCTTGTGCTACACAATCACTCGTGTCATTGTTGACGGCGCAAGATCACAGACGAGCGAATTCACGGCGCAATTTAGCTACGGATAGTTTCCGGCTCGCTGGTAGACTTGCAGCAGATGGCTGGTGAACTCGTATTGGGCCACGTGACATGGCGAGACGGGATACTCGATGTGGTGTGCCGGGCGCGGAATTTATTTATTTATTGCTGACCATGCATCCAGGGCCAAGTGAGCCGGACAGACGCGAAGCGGCCAAGCTTGCAAACGGCACGATCGCGGTTGTAGCCTCCGAGCGTTACGACGTTTCTTGCACTGTGAGAAGTTACGTGAACTTGGAACACGAGGCGATGATGTGAGGAGGGGACACCAGAGTGGAGCAGTGCGAGCGAAGAAGCGGAGAGAGAGAGACACTGTGTTGTGTGACCTGCAGTGTGGTGAGTGGGTGAGTGGGTGGGTGAGTGTGTTGTGTGATCTGCGGTGTGGTGAGTGGGTGACTGGGTGGGTGAATGAGTGTGTTGTGTGACCTGAGGAGTGGTGAGTGGGTGACTGAGAGGGTGAGTGAGTGAGTGGGTGAGTGAGTTGGTGGGCGAGTGAGTCTTTGTGACATGCAGTGCGGTGAGTCGTGGAGTGGGTGAGTGAGTGGGTGGGTGAGTAAGTGAGTCGGTGGGCGAGTGACTTGTGACCTGCAGGGTGGTGAGTGAGTGGGTGAGTGTGCTTATAACCAGCTCCGGCTTGACAGCAGAGGTCTCACTCCAAATCATCAGCTGGGCAATGCTGCGTGGAAGCTACTTAGTCTGTCGCTCCGCACGAAGCTACGGATCTTCTCATCCACAGTCATGCCCTCCCTTCTCTATGCTTGTGAAACGTGGATCCCTCTCATGGAACATCTGCGCCGGTAGGAAACATTCAGGCTGGCATGCCTACGATCCATCCTGGGTTTAACCAGGCTGGATTGTGTTAGGAGCTCACATATCCTTGAAAGATCTGGGCAAAGTCCCATCAATTAGCTCATCCGGCAGGCGAGGCTGCGTTGGTTTGGTCATGTAGCCTGCATGCCCAGCTACCGCACGCCCAAGCAACTTTGTTTGGCTGCATAGATTGAGCTAAATGGGCACGACATGGGCTGAAGAAGAGATGGACTGATGCCGTATGGGGGGATGTGGAGCTGAGTGGACTTGCCAATGACTGGTACCAGCGGTGTCAGGATCTGCCTCTATGGAGGAGGCTCGTGAAGGATGCTGTTGCTACTGGGCAATTGGAGGCAGTCGCCCTCCAGCAACAACGTAGCGCAGAGGAGCGACACTCACAACAACTATCGGAGCGCCGGGCGGAAAAAATGCAGCAAGTTTTCACAGTAGTGGGTATAGCTGGTGCATCTACCAGTCATCTCAGTCAGCCAACCCATGGCACCTGCAGGCTCTGTCCCGAGACCTCCTGTCAGCGAGCCTTCGACGCTTCACGTGGCCTCAAAGTGCACTTGGCCTGGCACGGGCGCCGTAGTGACGTAACCATCACTTATTGGCGAATGGCGGCTGTATTGGCATGAGTGAGTGAGTGATTGGGCGAGTGAGTGAGTGAATGGGCGAGTGAGTGAGTGAGTGAATGGGCGAGTGAGTGAGTGAATGGGCGAGTGAGTGAGTGAGTGGACGAGTGAGTGATTGAATGGGCGAGTGAGTGAGGGGATGGGCGAGTGAGTGAGTGGGCGAGTGAGTGAGTGGATGGGCGAGTGAGTGAGTGAATGAGCGAGTGAGTGAGCGAATGGGCGAGTGAGTGTTTTTTGTGTGACCTGCAGGGTTGTGGGTTTAACACAGTGCGGTGAATGAGACGACTCAGTTAGTGACTGGTCGACTCAATGTGGGTTGGAGGAATCAACGAGCGGAGCTCACGGGGACAGTCACCGCATTATAGCAGCGATAGAAGAGCAATGAGGAAGCAACTGGCCCGCCGGCGAGCGAGAGAATGTACTGCACTCGAGCAATAGCGAGGAAAGCGGCAGAAATGGAAAGCGCTTTCATCTTTTAACAAGTATAACCCGTAAAAACAAAGTTTTTCACTATAAATCCTTTATATGCGTGGCGGCTAGAGTCCTCTCGTCCTCTGGCTTGAGATGGCTGCCACCTATGGGTCAGATGATTGCATGGCACAATTAAGCAATTGGTAATTAAATATAATATTTTTGTCCTAAAAAGTGTAAAATTTTGGAAAAAATTTTCACGAACATTTATTGTCACGCACAACGAGTCTGTGTGCAAAATGTCAGCTCGATTGGATCACGGGAAGTGGGTTAAAAAACGACCGAAAGATTTGCACGGTCGTAAGCATGCAAGCGAACTTAATATAACGGATTTAAAAAGAAAAGAATAGGAAAAAAAACCAACACGGACGAAACGTCCAAATTTCTGGACTTGTTCGAATTATATTCTGAACTCCACCTGGCGTCCAGCCCGAGTGGATCCGGTCTGGGCCGAGTGGCCGCGGGTCCCGTGGGACGCGGCTCCCGTGGGAAGCTGGCGGCGTCATCCGTAGAGTTCCGCGAGAGCTCTCCCTGCCTCTGGAGCGACCGCAGTGCGGAACCATCGGGCAAGCTACACGAATCCTGCCCTTCCCCCCGATACTCCATCCTCCTCCTGCCCCCCCCCTCCTCTACTCTTCCCCCTCCTCCCCCCTCCTCCCCCCTCCTGCTCTCCCTCCTCCTCCATCATCCGTCCTCCTCCCTCCCTCCTCCGCCCTCCTCTAAGCCCCACGCCACGAAGCCTTTAGGATTCGAGCAAAATGCAGAGTCGCCGTCGTGTCCCCCAGTAGCGTCCGTCACCTGTCCAGGTTTTGACTCAGGACAGTTCGGGGGACAGGGATGGACTTTGTGCCGATACCTGGTGCCGCTATTGCCGTGTTGAACTGTGTCGCAGCAGTGCGCTGCTCAGCGTTGGTGAAGCGAGGCTGACTGAGATCGATGGCTGTTTGTGGAGATACGGACACCTCGTGCACGTGTGGGAAATTGGACACTCTGCCGTGTGCAAGTGCGGTCATGAACACCAAACCATGGAGCGTAGAACGTCGCTCCGCTTCAAATGTAACAGCGAAGGAAGTGGATGCGCGGGTTTGTGGGTGCGTGTGTGAGTAGGTGGGTGACTGGGTGGGTGCGTGTGTGAGTAGGTGGGTGACTGGGTGGGTGCGTGTGTGAGTAGGTGGGTGGGTGGTTGACTGGGTGGGTGGTTGACTGGGTGGGTGGGTGACTGGGTGGGTGCGGGTGACTGAGTGGGTGGGTGGGTGGTTGACTGGGTGGGTGGTTGACTGGGTGGGTGCGGGTGTGAGTAGGTGGGTGGGTGGTTGACTGGGTGGGTGGGTGACTGGGTGGGTGCGGGTGTGAGTAGGTGGGTGGGTGGGTGACTGGGTGGGTGGGTGCGTGTGTGAGTAGGTGGGTGGGTGGTGGACTGGGTGGGTGGGTGACTGGGTGGGTGCGTGTGTGAGTAGGTGAGTGGGTGGCTGGGTGGGTGCGTGAGTAGGTGGGTGGGTGGTTGACTGGGTGGGTGGGTGCAGGTGTGAGTAGGTGGGTGGGTGGCTGGGTGGGTGCGTGTGTGAGTCGGTGGATGGATGACTGGGTAGGTGGTTGACTGGGTGGGTGCGTGCGTGAGTGAATAGTTGAGTGACTGAGTGAGTGGCTGAGTGAATAAGCGAGTCGGTGTGTGGTGTGAGCGGGGCCCGGGGGTTAGTGGACGAGTGGGTCTATCTGCAATCCGCCAACTCCCAGACGAAGCCACCCCAATGGCAACCGCCGCACGTGCCGACGAATCTCCCGTCCCCGTGGCTCTCCGCAGGCCACGGGACATCGTCGCCGTACGGGCGGTCGACTAAAGACGCTCGTACCGTCACCACCGCTGCGTGTCCCTTTCTCGTGAGCCACGAGGAATCCGGACGATGTCGCAGCCGGCGCTGGTGCTTGTGACTCTGCTGCTGCTGCTCGCTGCTTCGCCCAGCGCCGAGACTCAAGGCGAGAGACGCAAACCGCGCGGCAGGTGAGGTTCACGCGCGCGTCCGTTCGAGCGTCGTGCGGGCGGGAGCTCGAGAGGAACGGGTGGGAACGAGTGGGATTGGGAGGGGTGGGGCTGGGTGGGAAGGGGCTGGGTGGGGAGGGTGGGGAGGGGCTGGGTGGGAGGGGTGGGGCTGGGTGGGGAGGGGCTGGGTGGGGAGGGTGTGGAGGGGCTGGGTGGGAGGGGTGGGGTTGGGAGGGGTGGGGCTGGGTGGGAAGGGGCTGGGTGGGGAGGGTGGGGAGAGGCTGGGTGGGAGGGGTGGGGCTGGGTGGGGAGGGGCTGGGTGGGGAGGGTGTGGAGGGGCTGGGTGGGAGGGGTGGGGCTGGGTGGGGAGGGGCTGGTCACCCCGTTGTGTCCTTATACAACTCAACGTTTAACCTACTCACGCCGGCTTGTGCCCGCCCTCACAGTCGGCCATATTTGCGGAATACACCACGCCGCCGTTGACCCTGCAGGCCATTGACCGAGCAACCCAACGTTCCTACCAGCTCCCTCCGCAGCAGGACAATGTGTTTAAAGCTGACTGGACTTGTTGATACGCACACCCGACACACGCGGCACTTTGGCCATGTTTGTTTGTTGTTGTACAGAGTTAGACTGATGGCCTTAATCTAAGTTGTCTTGTGGTTGTTGTTGTTTGACTTGCATCCCACTGGGATTTTTGCACACAGTGTTGGTGTACGGTGATTTTTCTGCAATATTTTGCTGTCTTTTCTTGGATTTTCTGTTTGCACTCAGTCACATATTCACTTTAAGACGTTTTCTTGTTCATGTTTTTTGTTCGTTGCGGTTGCACCCGATTCAAGAGCCGAATGGCTCACAGGGCTATACCTAATAAATTAACTTGAACTTGAACTCTCGCCAGCAGGTCGGCGCGTGCGGTCGACATCCCCGTGGTGCCGGTTGCTGCTGCTGCTGGCGATGAGGCCGTGGGCCGCTGCTCCTACACCTTCGTGGTGCCGTCCAACGCCCCGCCGGGCCCCGTGTGCGTGCGCGATGGCGGAACCTCTTCCTCCTCGTCGTCGTCGTCATCATCGGTGAGCGCGAAGAGATTCAAATCCCCCCAAACGGCAACGCACAGCCGCGCCTCGCGCTCCGTTCGCTCGAGAAGCGATCCTCCTGCCCTGGACTCGCGCCTTCCCTCTTCCCTCCGTCGTCTCGCCGCCGCCGTTTCTCGTTTGTTGTCGGCTGCTGGAGGAGCCGTAGCGCAGCTGACGGAGCGGGCAGCGTTACCGACCGCGCGAGGCGCTCGCGTGGTCCGCGCGGCTCGCGACGCAGGCGGCGGTGACCAAAGTGGCTCCGGCGACGGGCACGAAACGACGCGAATTAGTTTTTCCGCGGTGCGACCGCTTCGCAGAGGTCGCAGACGGGTTTTGATTCCTTACCTGTACCCGTACCCGGCCGCACCAGGGTCGCAAACAGGTACCCGTACCCGTACTCTACCCGTACCCGGCCGGGTATCGGGTAGGGTACGGGTATCGGGTACCTGATTGCGACCTCTGCGATGAAGCCATGTTGCAGGCGCGGGTGGGTTGATTCTAGGAACTTGAATTGTGAGAAGAGACAAGACGTTGGGAAATGAGTGACAAACGGTGACTCACCAGTGACTCACGGCCTACCCGTACCCGTACCCGGCCGCACCAGGGTCGCAAACGGGTACCCGTACCCGGCCGGGTACGGGTAACCGGGTATCGGGTAGGATACGGGTATCGGGTACCCGGTTGCGACCTCTGCCGCTTCGTTCGCGATTCCAACTCGCGCCGCCCGAGATGCGTCACGCCAAATGCGACCGCCGCTTCCGCCGACGGCTTTGCGGACTCGTCGCAAACGGTTGACAAACAAACAAACAAAAAACAAATCGACGCGCGATTCGCCGAATTGTTTTCAACGTCTCCCCAAAACGCCCCAAACGACGGTAACTCCTCGACCGCCGCGTGCGCCCGGACAGCAGCAGCCGCCGGCGGGGAATTGGAGCGGCGGTCCCTGCCGCTCGGAGCTCGGAACTCTTCGGGACGAGCTGCGTCGCCACGGGCGGCAGATCACGGCGCTTCAGCAGCTGGTGGAGGTGGACGGAAGCCTGGTGGGCGAGGTGAAGCTGCTGCGTAAGGAGAGCCACAACACGAACGCGCGCGTCACGACGCTCTATGCGCAGCTGCTGCACGAGATGATCCGCAAACGCGACGGGGCCCTGGACGCCGCGCAGCTCGAGGCGCGCATCCTCAACCAGACGGCCGACACCCTCCGCCTGCTCGCCAGCTACCACGAGCTGCAGCGTCGGTGCGTTGCTGGTGTTGTGCTGGTGCTGGTGGTGGTGGTGCTGGTGGTGCTGGTGTTGTGCTGGTGGTGGTGGTGGTGCGTTGCTGGTGTTGTGTTGGTGGTGGTGGTGCTGGTGCTGCTGTGCTGATGGTGCTGGTGGTGGTGGTGCTGTTGGTAGTGGTGCTGGTGGTGGTGCTGGTGGTGGTGGTGGGTTTTTGGTGCTGCTGTGCTGGTGTTGTGCTGGTGGCGCTGATGCTGGTGGTGGTGGTGAGGCGCTGCTGTAGTGACGTGCCGCGGTTACGCGTGGTGCCCTCACCACCCTCACCACCCTCACCACCCTCACCGCCCTCACCACCCTCACCGCCACCACCGCAGGTTCGCCGCGCTCACCGCCGTGGTGACCAACCAGACGGCCACCATCTCCCGCCTGGAGGAGCTGTGCCGACCACGCCACGCTCCTCCGTGCGTCGACGGAGGGACCCCCCTCGCTCTGCCGTGCCCCCCGGCTCATCCCGGGGGGGCCTTGCCCCCCCTCCAACCTGAGGTATAAGCGCCTGACCCCCCCCCCCAGTGAAGTAGCGTGATGATGATGATGGTGGTGATGATGGTGATGATGATGGTGATGATGGTGATGATGGTGATGGTGGTGATGATGATGATGGTGGTGATGGTGGTGATGATGATGGTGATGATGGTGATGATGATGGTGATGATGATGTTGATGATGGTGATGGTGGTGATGATGATGGTGATGATGGTGATGATGATGGTGATGATGATGATGGTGATGATGGTGATGATGATGATGGTGATGATGATGGTGATGATGATGGTGATGATGATGGTGATGATGATGGTGATGATGATGGTGATGATGACCATCGCGACGCTGCTGCTGCTGCTGCTGGTGGTGATAACAGGGATGATAGTTGTGGTAAGAGTGGTGATGGTGGTGGTGGTAACAGTGAGGGCGGTGATGATGATGCCGGTGTTTGTGATGATGGTGATGATGATGACAGTGATCGTGATGATGATGTCGATGTGCGAACCGTAGCCACGGCCGTTCTCTTTAACGACCCCCCCGCCACCCGCCGCCGCCTTTCAGCCGCCGGCCTTCGCCTACAAACACTCGGCCCACAAAATCTCGACCAACGAGATCCTGGGCGAGGGGGGCGCGTCGCGCCGGGCGGCCGAGAGGGGGGCCCCCCCGCGCGTCCCCCCGGCCCAGCCGCAGCCTCGTGCCGCCGCTCCTCCCTCACCGCCGCGTCCGGCGCCGACCCCGGGGCGAGCCGCCGCTGCCACCACCGCCGCCGCCACAGCTGTGCCAGCAGCTGGCACCGGCTCCACCACCCCAAAGCCATCAGGTGACTTTTGTTGTATCCGCTCCCCTCGCCTTGCGCTGAACGTCGAACATCGTCGCTTTTCGCCGCCGCGTGTTATATGTGCCAAGTTCGGGGGGAAGGTGGGGGGGGCAGCTCTTGCGCAACGCGTGTGTGTGTGTGCGTGCACGCGTGTGTTGAACTTCTTTCGCACCGCGCGTAGCCAATCGCGCTCATCGGAGGCGCCGTTTCACAACCCCGGCGCGATGTTCAGGCCGTGTCGAACCCGTCGCGCTCTGCCGTGCTGTGTGGCGAGCCCAGGGTGCCGACTGACCGTCACCCCCAACCCCCCAACACGAATAGAGCCCCGAGCTCGTCTCGTGCGGGGCACGTGGGCACACCGGCCCCGCTGAGCCTGCGGGGGAGGGCGGCTCTCCCGATTCACAACGCCGCCCACATCCATCCCTCGCCAGGCTCCCTCGACCCCCTCGCTCGCTCGCTCTTCCCGTGGCTTCTCACGCTTGCGTTGTTGGCACGGCCAACACACGGGAGGAGGGAGGAGGGAGGAACACGAGGAGGAGGATGACGAGGAGACATCTGCTTCATCGCAAAATCCATCCCAGGCACTCGCTCCCTTCCCGAGGGGACAAGCAGCGGAGGCAGATTCTGATGGAAAACATCGCTACCCCCCCTCCCTCCCGACCTGATCAGGGTCTCTGCCAACTCCTCCGCCTGCAGCCCGTGCATGGTGCGGCTCTACCGCAATGTGGGGATGCTGCCGCGACTTTGCCGTTGCCACACGGAATCGCTATCCAGAGGTGACCACTGTGAATGCCATCTCCCGGTGCAGCAGTTGAAACAAGGCGACCAATTTCCCTTCTACGTGACTTTACCGAAAGAAGCAAGAAGATGAATCCCTGCAGTCACGAAAGCTTTAAATCGAAATTTAAGGCGGCCAATTTTGATTTGAAGCTTTCGTGACTGCAGGCATCCATGCTCTTTGGTAGTCACGTGGGTCACGGAGGTGACTTTACCGAAAAAAAATTAACCCGTAAAAACAAAGTTTTTTACTATAAATCCTTTATTTATGTGGCGGATAGAGTCATCTCGTCCTCTGGCTTCAGATGGCTGCCACCTATGGGTCAGATGATTGTCTGCCAGCATTAAGCAATTGGTAATTAAATATTTAAAAAAATTCCCTACACAGTGTAAAATTTTGGAAAAATTTTTTCACGAAAATTAATTGTCACGCACAACGAGTCTGTGTGGAAAATGTCAGCTCGATTGGATCACGAGAAGTGGGTTAAAAAACGACCGAAAGATTTGCACGGTCGTAAGCAAGCAAGCAAGCACGCAAGCGCGCAAGCAAGCAAGCGAACGAACTTAATATAAAGGATTTAAAAACAAGTTACTGAACCTACCTCCGCCTGGGTTACAACACAGTTAGTCTTCGGTGGGCATGCCGCGCGTGGTGGAGTAACGTGTGGATAACTACCACCACCACCACCTCCTCCTCCTCGGCGTCCAGCCAGTGAATCATAATCTTTGCTTAGACGGGAGGAATCCGACGAGCGACGAACCTATTTTTCACGGACGCCCACCAGGGGAGCGAGATGCTGGCCGAGAATTTCGCAAATGGGGTGGAAGAGTAGGCCAACGACACCCCCTAGAGGGGCTCCTCTCTTGGATGCCCTTCCGACAGCCGTGACGCGAGTGAGCGCCCGTGGTGGCGCAGTGGTCAGCGCGCTGCCCTGCGAACACGGCCACCTGAGTTCGATTCCGGGCCACGGCTAACATCGTTGGCGAGTGACATCGCAAACCGGTCCTAGGGGGGGGGGGGGGGGGGGACCCACCCCCCGCACTGACCAACGTGGCGAGGTGAAGTGAGAACAACCTCCCACGACCGACACGGAGAGTGATGGGGGCGGGGGGGCCTGGTTCTAGCGGTGGATCGACAAAAGGGCCGCGCGTGTCACGATCCCCGTGTCCTGCTCGTGCAGTCTTCATGCGTAAAACGATGGCGCAAACAGACGGTGTCCATTAGCGCGCGTTACGATGTTTGTTAAATACAGCCGCGGCCACCCACACACACACACTATATAAATACAAAGATCCCCCGTATAGCATTAACACACCCACACACCCACACACACGCACGTGCACACACACCCACACACACGCACACACCCACACACCCACACACACCCACACACACACCCACACGCGCAAACACACACACGAACATACACATCCACACACACGCACCCACCCACACGCACATACACACACCCATACACACACCCACATGCACACACACATCCACACACACGCACCCACACACACGCACGCGCGTACGGACGCACGCACAGAGCCGTGGGAGCAGGGCTGCAGTGTATGGATAGCGCAGCGCAGTCACGCGATGCTGAATGCCGCCTGCACGCCGGCTGCGTCTTCGTGAGGGTTTGCCAGCGGTCTGCGAGCTCAGGGTCCACGCATCCGCGCGACTCTGCGTAGCGATTGTTGCCACTTTAGGTTCGGGATCACCGGAGGGGTTTTGGTTTTAGAATGAACGCCGCGCTGACTCCGTGCGGTACGACACAAAGAGGTGGGGGGGGGGGGGAGGTCAGACACGCTACGAGAACGACACCGCGGAGTTTTCGACATCGTGAAGTGCTCATCGTGTCATGTCAGAGGGGGTGGGGAGGGGGGCTTGGGCAGTGCGCGTGACGGCTCGAGGTGGGCGCCGGAACAGTGGCGGAGCGTCAAACGGGGGAGTAGAACGCGCGTCCCCTTGGGTAGAGGGGGGGGGACAGCCACCGCGGAGATGGAGCGACGGAACGACGAGCTCGTGGGCGGGATGCACGGTGGATTGCGCAATAATCGCAGGGGTCAGCGTGAGAGGCCGCGGCGGCGACTTTGGGAGGCCTTCATCCATCATCATCGGTCGATGATGACGACGAAAAATTATGATGATGATGAAGAAGATCCGTTGGCTTGCTGGGGCAAGCCATGTGGCCGCGTGGCACCGGGGGGGGGGGGGGGTGTGGGGGGGGTTGGAGCCAGGCGCGGCGCCAGCAGCGAGGGAATTAGCTCCGCGCGTGCGGAGGAGCAACTCCCCCCCCCCTCTTCACGGCGCCGAGTCGCCTCGCCCGGCGCGGCTCCACGGACGCGCCCCCACGGAGCGCGCTGGCGGGGTCCGGCAGCGCGCGAGGCACGCGGTGCCAGAGGGCCGACGGTTCGACTCCGTCTCCATGCCGAGGAAGCTGAAAGAGTGGAGCAAGTTTCGATGTAAAGCTTTCGTGACTGCAGGGATTCATCTTCTTGGTTCTTTCGGTAAAGTCACGTAGAAGGGAAATAATAAAAGAATAAAAATTAAACATAATAAAATAATTCTCACGACGTTTCGGCCACAACGCAAGCAGCCGTCCTCAGGTGAAGACCAGGTCTGTCGGGGAGACACCATTCGGGAAGACACCATTCAGACTCTGTCTCCCCGACAGACCTGGTCTTCACCTGAGGACGGCTGCTTGCGTTGTGGCCGAAACGTCGTGAGAATTATTTTATTATGTTTTATTTTTATTATTTTATTATTTCCCTTCTACGTGACTTTACCGAAAGAACCAAGAAGAGTGGAGCAAGTTTCTGAAATTCTCCACCACCACCACCAGCATCACCCCCACGACTGACTCTGTCCACCCCAGCAGTGTAACTGTGTACACACCAAGTTTGTCGATCGCGTACGGTGGGGTAAAGTGTGGCTACTTCTACCTCTACCACGACATCTGGACAGTCTATGTGTGTCTGTAGGTCCATGTGTGGGTCTATGGGTATCTGTGTGATTATATGAGTCTCCGTGTGAGTCTATGGGTCTCTCTGTGAGTTAATGAGTCTCTTTGTGTGTCTATGAGTCTCTGTATGTGTCTATGGGTCTTTATGTGAGTCTATAGTTCTCTGTGTGAGTCTATGGGTCTCTGTGTAAGTCTATGGGTCTCTGTGTGAGTCTATGAGTCTGTGGATCTCTATATGAGTATATGGGTCTCTATGTGAGTCTATGGGTATCTGTGTGAGTCTGTGGGTCTCTATATGAGTCTTTATGTGAGTCTATGGGTATCTGTGTGAGTCTCTGAGTCTCTGTGTGAGTCTATGGGTCTCTGTGTTAGTCTATGGGTCTCTGTGTAAGTCTATGGGTCTCTGTGTGAGTCTATGAGTCTGTGGGTATCTATATGAGTCTATGAGTCTCTATGTGAGTCTATGAGTCTCTGTGTGAGTATATGAGTCTCTGTGTGAGTCTATGAGTCTCTGTGTGAGTCCGTGGGTCTCTGTGTGAGTCTAAGGCTCTAGAGGCCGGATAAGGAGTGTGTAACCCCGCCCTCCACCCCCACATCTTCCAAGATGTTTGGCCAGCGTAGAGAGAGAGAGATAAGTAGGCTAAGCACATGCTCCTCAGTAGGGCTCCCCTCTCTCCCACTCCCTCTACAGCGCTTCCTGGCAGTCTCTTCCACCAGCAGTGTGGTGCTAGCGAGTGAGCAATTGCAGGGCTGCTCCTTTGGCGTCATCTGGAACGCTGGCCACAGGCATTTTGCAGCAGCGGCGGCTGCGTCATACACGTGTTTGTATTAGTGATGTTAATATCAACAACAGCAACAACAACAACGCCCGCCATTCGCCACTAAGTGGCGGTGACGCCACCACGGCGCGCCTGTGCCAGGCCAGGTGCACTTTGAGGCCACGTGGTTGTTAGCATCACAGGCGCGCACCTGCAGCCTGGGATGGTGGCGCGTTCTTTGCCTGACGCGGTAAAGTCGAGAGCGGAGAAGTTTTGTGAACACCAGGCGCATTCATCACCAGCACGCATGCGGCGCCGCGCACGTGGCCCGGAGAGAGTCGGGGGGTGGGGGGAGAGGAAGGGGGGTTGGTGGTGGTGGTGGTGGCGGTGGTGGTGGTGGGAGGCCGCGTGGCTTGGCCGCTCCCCTACTCGGCGTGAGCTCATGGCCATGCACGCTTAGCTCAGTCCCCCCCCCCCAAACCTCCCCACAGCCCCCCACTCTCACTCCCACGGCTCTCAGATTGGCCCCGAGTCTCAAGCGAGTTGTATATTTAAAAGAAAATACCAACTCTTAAAAAAATGTGTCTTTTTTGGTATTGTACCAGATAAGGCCCCCTTTGAGCTGCGTGGCTCTTTTCTTGAGAAGCGACGGGGCTTTCACGAGTGATCGCTTTACGCGCCGACGTGTCCAGCAAGGCGCGCACACGCACTCTGACACGCGTGTTGCGGAGCGCAAGGAGGCGCCAAAGGCCCGAACGCCAAGCGGTCAGCAACAAACGGCAACCATCGAAGGTGTTAATGGAAAAAGGAACGTCAACGCGTGAGCTTGGATTGAGCGAAGTTGCGGTGGTAATTTGGGGGGGGTGGGGAGAAAGAGACCACGACCACGATGACGACGATGATGAAGCAGCAGGGAGAGGGAATGAAAAGAGACCGTGGCGATCATCATGGCGGGGCTGAGTCGACCCTGGCCAGGATGTGAACGCAATGCGTGGTGCGTAATCGCGAGCGCCGCTACTTAAGCGAGTCGAGCGAGGAGGCTGCCCACGCGTTGGAGACTTCAAACGCGGAGGGACATCCAGTGACGCCACCGGCTCCGCTGAGTTCAAGTCGAACGCCGGATACGCGCGGGGGGGGGGGGGGTGTTAGGGGTGGGGGATAGGGGGGGGGGTGGGGGGGGTGGTAGGGGTGGGTGGTAGGGGTGGGTGGTAATGGTGGGTGGTAGGGGTGGCTGGTAGGGGGGGGTGGTAGGGGGGTGTTATGGGTGGGTGTTAGGGGTGGGTGGTAGGGGGGGTGGTAGGGGGGTGGTAGGGGGTGGGTGGTAGGGGTGGGTGGTAGGGGGTGGGTGGTAGGGGTGGGTGGTAGGGGGTGGGTGGTAGGGGGGTGGTAGGGGTGGGTGTTAGAGGTGGGTGTTAGGGGTGGGTGGTAGGGGTGGGTGGTAGGGGCGGGGTGTTAGGGGTGGTTGAACTCGACCAGAAATTATCCTCCCAGGGGGCGATGCAAACAAACGAAGAGCCGCCCGCTCCGTGCAGAGACCCCTGGCGCTCACACGTACCGAGTCGGACGGGCCAGAGACGTCAAATTCAAACCATCCCCACCCCACCCCTCTCCCACGCCGCCGCTCCCACACGCAGCTCGTCCGAGCAAGTGGGTCCGTGGCAAATCGATGGTAACATCTGTATGTAATTGATTCTTAGCAGAGATATTACGTTGAAGGTTTGTTTGTTTTATGCCTAAGGACGGGTCCTTAGACTTACAGAGAACGGTACAGACGAGCAGAGAGACCCATATAGACTCACGTAAAGATATACTCACAGAGACATATATAGTCTGTTAGAGACTCACATAGACTCACAGAAATCTATATGGAATCACGCAAACTCGCAAGTATTCTCTCTCCACATCTGGTTGGGGTGATGTTTTATTGCCAGTGATGTTTGAGAACCAGCGGTGGAAGTTCCACATTCCCATAGCCGGGTCGAGTCTATGCGTCGGGCAGCCACCGCTGTTTATTTCCCACAAAGTGGACTTGGGCCTAGTGAAGTCAAATCGAGGGCCACAACCGTAGCCCACATCACAATCCCCCCAAAAAACAAAAAAAAAATGCGAAAAAACTCCCTCAAAACCACTAAAAACCGAAATAAATATTATCTGGTTCTTTCGGTAAAGTCACGTAGATAGAAAAAGTAATACAATAATAAAAATAAAACATAATAAAATTATTCTCACGACGTTTCGGCCACAACGCAAGCAGCTGTCCTCAGGTGAAGAACAGGTCTGTCGGGAAGACTGCGTTGTGGCCGAAACGTGAGAATTATTTTATTATGCTTTATTTTTATTATTTTATTATTTCCCTTCTACGTGACTTTACCGAAAGAACCAAGAAGATGAATCCCTGCAGTCACGAAAGCTTTAAATCGAAATAGAAAAAATAATAAACGAAAACACGATGTTTCGGTCGCAACACAAGTGTCCGTCTTCAGGTGAAAAAAATATCTGCTGTTGTGGCTTTATAACCGAAAAAAAACGCCCAAAAAACTATTTTTTCCTTTTTCAAAAACACAACTTGCCCGCCAATAACGCTGTGGCCGCGCAAGGAAGAAAGTATACTCCGACAGACGACGTTTCGGGCAATGTCCCTTCTTCATGGCGGAGCTGGTGGAGGCAGTGGAATGGGGCGGTGGGGCGGTGGACCAGCCGATGATGGAAGTACGATGAAGGTTTGTTGTCCGACAGCCCATACCACCCAGGCAGGGGGGGAACTTTTCGGGAGGAGCTCTGGGGCATCGGGCGAAACTAAACGCAGCCTTCGATACATGCGACAGGAACGTCGTGAAATCGGGGTCGGAGCGGCGGGGGGAGACGTAAACGCAGCTGAGCCGTGCGGCCGGTGGAGCGGTGGCGCAGCGGTTAGCGCTACGCCGCGCTACGAACCTGGCGAACCCGAGTTCGATTCCCGCTCACGGCCAACGCCGGCGACGATTATCTGAACCGGTTCCGGACCTCCCCTAGGTCGACTCAGCCTCGAATGAGTACCTGGTGCGGTGTGTAAACATCGGGCGTGGTGCTGGCCACCCACCACCTCGTGTGTGCGTGCCAGCCTTTATAGGTGCTCGCTAACAGCACTTGCCCCAACAGGCTGTTCAAGGCTGTACGGCGGGGGGGGGGGGGGGGGGGGGTCTTTGTCATTGTGAGTGGGGTGGAGTTGTCGAGGGTGTTTTGAGCAGCGTGACAAGTTGCCCCCCCCCAGTCGGTTGGAGCACATGGAAGTGATTTACACGTGGGTGGGGGGGGGGGCAATCAGCGGCGAGCAAACATCGCGGGCTGCGGGGAGGAAGAGAGCGCTTAGCTGCAGGGACGCGTGTCACACCCGGCACGCACAGAGACCCTCGCAGAGACTCACACAGATATACCCATAGACTCACACAGAGACACCCATAGACTCACACACCCATAGACTCACACAGAGACACGCATAGACTCACACAGAGACACCCATAGACTCACACACCCATAGACTCACACAGAGACACGCATAGACTCACACAGAGACACCCATAGACTCACACACCCATAGACTCACACACCCATAGACTCACACAGAGACACACATAGACTTACACAGAGACACACATAGACTCACACACCCATAGACTCACACACCCATAGACTCACACAGAGACACCCATAGACTCACACACCCATAGACTCACACAAAGACACCCATAGACTCACACACCCATAGACTCACACAGAGACACACATAGACTCACACAGAGACACCCATAGACTTACACAGAGATACCCATAGACTCACACAGAGACACCCATAGACTCACACACCCATAGACTCACACAGAGACACGCATAGACTCACACAGAGACACCCATAGACTCACACACCCATAGACTTACACATAGACACCCATAGACTTACACAGAGACATCTCACACATCCATAGACTCACACCCCCATAGACTCACACAGAGACACCCATAGACTCACACAGCGACACCCATAGACTCACACACCCATATACTCACACAGAGACACACATAGACTTACGCAGAGACAACAATAGACTCACACACCCATAGACTCAAACACCCATAGACTCACACAGATACACAAATAGACTTACACAGAGACACCAATAAACTCACACACCCATAGACTCACACACTCATAGACTCACACAGAGAGATACATAGACTCACGCAGAGAGACCCATAGACTCACACAGATACACCCATATACTCAAACAGACACACCCATAGACTCACACAGGGACACCCATAGACTCACACACCCATAGACTCACACAGAGACACCCATATACTCAAACAGACACACCCATCGACTCACACAAACACGGTTACTCAAACAGAGAGCCAAAGACTCACGTAGACTCAGACTCAGCCATACATCTTCTTCACATATCAGTATGTCCTACACATCCCATCAGCTGTACGGCCTTCCTCTCCAAGTTCACGATTTCAGACGAGCAAACTCTGAACTGGGTTCGACATTCAGACGCTCATCAGCTGACTTGAACAAACGCTGGTGAACTTCCGATCTTACAATACCGGGCCTAGTAAAGAGAGGGCCCTGCTTAGTTTATTTATATTGTCTGCTTATTTATGTGCGTTCATACTGAGTGGTGCACTTAAGACCTTATGTATATTCACACGCTATTGCAATGCGCCTGCGCGTGTCTGTATGTATGTGTGCACGTGTAAGCGTGTTCCTCTATGCGTGCTCGTATGTGCAGAGCAGGAAACACAGCTGGTGGTGCATCTGTCGGTCATCTCAGTCAGTTAACCCACAGCACCTGGGTCTGTCCCGTGACCTCCTGCACCTAGCCTGGCACAGAAGTCAACCCACGGCACCTGGGTCTGTCCCGTGACCTCCTGCACCTAGCCTGGCACAGCAGTCAACCCACGGCACCTGGGTCTGTCCCGTGACCTGCACCTAGCCTGGCACAGCAGTCAACCCACGGCACCAGGGTCTGTCCCGTGCCCTCCTGCACCTAGCCTGGCACAGCAGTCCACCCACGCCACCTGGATCTGTCCCGTGACCTCCTGCACCTAGCTTGACCCAATAGTCAACCCAACGCACTTGGGTCTGTCCCGTGACCTCCTGCACCTATCCTGGCACAGCAGTCAACCCGCGCAAAAGCCTGCGTGTGTCCCGTGCCCTCGTGTGTGCGCGTGCCCATGTAGGCCCGTGGCGGGACTGCCTGCACGCCCTGGACGAGGGTCAGCAGACCAGCGGGATGTACCTCCTGCGTCCGCGCGGCGCGACGCGCCTGGCGCAGGCGTGGTGCGACCAGCAGCAGGATCCCGGCGGCTGGACCGTCATCCAGCGGCGCCACGACGGCTCCGTAAACTTCTTCCGCAACTGGGACGCGTACAAGGTGACCGACCGCCTTTTGGTGGCTTTACAATCGAATGGTAATGATTATTACGATGATGATGATGGTGATGTTAATTTGTAAAGCTACGGTGCAGAGTATTCGCTCACTCTCTGGCGGGGAGAAAGAGAGAGAGAGGGCGACTCAGAGGCGCCAGGAAGAACCGCAGACGAGCGTGAAGGCAGCAGCCAGGCGATTAGTCGGTGCCAAAAGTGTCCCGAACTCTGCCGTCTTCTATATACGAGGATGTTATCAGCCAATTAATGAGTGTGTACATGTGCGAGTAAACCGGAGCACCCAAAGGGGGAACGCTCTATCCTATGTGGAGTCCACGTGGGACAGCCAGTGCAAGGCTCCACCTCGACACCCACCCACGGGTAGAAGGGAGTTTCACACAACATCTGTGCGCGGTGATCCATCAACTCACTCTTCTAGATCACAGGCAGCCCAGGTGCAGCAGCGTCACCGCCACCACCGCCACCACCGAGGAATTGGCAACACTGCGTCTGTGTGCGCGGTGAACCACCAACCCTCGCATCTGCTACCTCCACTGTTCTAGATCACAGGCAGCCACGTGTAGCAGCAGCAGCAGCGGCAGCAGTATTCACCACCGCCACCGAGGAATTGACAACACTGCCTCTGTGTGCGCGGTGAACCACCAACCCTCGCATCTGCTACCTCCACTGTTCTAGATCACAGGCAGCCACGTGTAGCAGCAGCAGCGGCAGCAGTATTCACCACCGCCACCGAGGAATTGACAACACTGCCTCTGTGTGCGCGGTGAACCACCAACCCTCGCATCTGCTACCTCCACTGTTCTAGATCACAGGCAGCCACGTGTAGCAGCAGCAGCGGCAGCAGTATTCGCCACCGCCACCGAGGAATTGACAACACTGCCTCTGTGTGCGCGGTGAACCACCAACCCTCGCATCTGCTACATCCACTGTTCTAGATCACAGGCAGCCACGTGTAGCAGCAGCAGCAGCGGCAGCAGTATTCACCACCGCCACCGAGGAATTGACAACACTGCCTCTGTGTGCGCGGTGAACCACCAACCCTCGCATCTGCTACCTCCACTGTTCTAGATCACAGGCAGCCACGTGTAGCAGCAGCAGCGGCAGCAGTATTCACCACCGCCACCGATGAGTTGACAACACTGCCTCTGTGTGCGCGGTGAACCACCAACCCTCGCATCTGCTACCTCCACTGTTCTAGATCACAGGCAGCCACGAGCAGCAGCAGCAGCAGCGGCAGCAGTATTCACCACCGCCACCGATGAGTTGACAACACTGCCTCTGTGTGCGCGGTGAACCACCAACCCTCGCATCTGCTACCTCCACTGTTCTAGATCACAGGCAGCCACGTGTAGCAGCGGCAGCAGCAGCAGTATTCACCACCGCCACCGATGAGTTGACAACACTGCAAGTCTCCCTCCCTCCGTGTGGCGCGTGCGTGCGCGCGCGCGCTCACAGCAAGGGTTCGGCAACATCGACGGCGAGCACTGGCTGGGGCTGGACAGCGTCCACGCGCTGACCAGCGCCGGCGACTACAAGCTGCTCGTAGTGCTGGAGGACTGGCAGGGCCGTCGCGTGTTCGCTGAGTACGGCAGCGTGCGCGTCGCGGGCGAGGCCGAGGGGTACCGCCTGCGTCTCGGGCATTTCCGCGGCACGGCGGGCGATTCGCTGGGCTGGCACAACGGGCGTCAGTTCACCACGCTCGACCGGGATCGTGACAACTTCTCCGGTGAGAGCGCGCGGAGGAGGAGGAGGAGTTGTCGGGGTTCTCTGGTCACCCACGCCGTCACCTTCATGTGTGCCGTGCCGGCCTTCGCAGGTGGTGCCGCTGCTCGCTGCTCGCTACTAACAGCACTTGCCCCAACAGCCTGTTAAAGACGATACTGGGGTGGGTGCAGCAAATCTGGCTGTGACGGTCCCACCTGATGACGGAGACTTGTGTTAATTTTTATTAATTTGAATTTAATTCTTTTACCTACGTGACTTTACCGAAAGAACTAAGAGTATGCATCCTTGCAGTCACGAAAGCTTCAAATCTAAAAATGGGGTGGGTGTCTTTACGCGTGCGAGACGGCTTGGGGGAGGCCTTCATCCAGCAGCGGATTGATCAAGGATGTTGATGACGACGGACCTGACCCCGTGCCGCCCGTGCCTCCCCCACACCCCACGTGCCCCCCCCCCTCCCTCCACCACCCGCCGCCACTGCCCCCTAGGTAACTGCGCCCACTTCCAGAAGGGCGGCTGGTGGTACAACGCCTGCTCGCACTCCAACCTCAACGGCGTGTGGTACCGGGGCGGCAACTACCGCAGCAAGTACCAGGACGGCGTGTACTGGGCCGAGTTCCACGGGACGTCCTACTCGCTCCGCAAGGTCACCATGATGATCCGGCCCAACCCCTCCATGTTCCACTGAGGGCGAAGCGCAGCCCCCCTCCTCCCTCCTCCTCCCCCGTGTCCTGTCACCTCCCTCAAGCCCCCCCCCCCCCTCTCTGGTCACCTCTCTCACCCCCCCCCTCTCTACTCACCTCTCTCACCCCCCCCCCCCTCTCTACTCACCTCTCTCACCCCCCCCTCTCTACTCACCTCTCACTCCCCCCCTCTCTCTCTACTCACCTCTCTCACCCTCGCACCTGCTTCAACTGCTCACCGTCTCTCTCTCTCTCGTCCGATCCCCTTCCTCTCTTTCGCCCACCTCTACTCCTGCCCCCCCTCTCTCTCAACCCCCTCGTCGGCGCGGCTGTCGAGTCGTGCGCAGGCACGACTCGCGAGCACGCGGCAGTTGATTCGACCCACAGCCCCTACCCACCCCTCCCTCCCTCCACCCGACCCCCCCCCCCTCCCCTCCACAAACTTATTCCCAGACCCCCATCCCCTCCGTCCCCCCCGGGATGAGTCGCTAATGCAGCAGTGGAGAGCGCGGGTGGATAGGGCCGCTGCCACCTCCGCCTCTCCCCTCCCCCGCCCCCCGCTCCCCCCCCCCCCGCTCACCCTCCCCCAACTCCCCCGCGCAACTTCTCCGGCCCCACGGGGCTGTCCCCCCCCCCTGTGTTGGGGTGTTGGCGCGCGTTGTCAGACAACCTTGTCCGACGTTTCGCGAGACCACGCGCGCGTCGACAGCTTCTCCGGGAACCGAGCCGATTCGTAGCCCTCGGGGCTAAAACGTCGGACGCCGCGAACCCGAAGGCGCATCGGGGATCTACGGACACTTTGCAGGCGACGCGGCGAACGCGAGACAGCGTCCACGCAGGCAGCGTGCGGTGGGCGGGAAGTGTGGGGGGCACTTCCCCTGGTACCAGCGTGGAGGAGGAGGTCACAACGAGAGCCTCTCAAGCGGCTCTATGGGGCTCCCTCGAGTGAAGGAAACTCCCGTGAGCAGTGGCTGCAGCACGCGATTGCAGGGCCGCGCCTTTATCTTACCGATGCCTTGCCTGTGCTTTTCATCGGCAACTTTCAATTTAACAAAAGTGATTATACGGTTTTGTTGTCAACAATGGGACCTTTAAACGCGTTCCTTATCCTGTAGCCTTCTGGAACGTACGGCGTGAGTCTTAAGGCTCTTGAGACAGGGGAGATAAGGTGTCGTCACAACGAGAAGACACGGGGTTGTGTGTTTTTCTTTTCTTTTATTAAAACGACCATTGCACCTTGTGAGTGAGCACAGTACTCAACGGATATTAAAGATAACATTTGTATCGTCTTGTCTTGAGACCTATCATTTTAAATGTTATTCTTTGGTTCTTTCGGTAAGTTCACGTAGATAGAAAAAATAAATCTAATAAAAATAGAAAAACCACGACGATCACAACACAAGCGATCGTATTGTGCTGTGATCGAAACATCGAGGTTTCTATATTTTTTATTTTTTATTTTTTCTATCTACGTGACTTTACCGAAAGAACCAAAGAATATGAATTCCTGCGGTCACGAAAGTTTTAAGTAAAACATTTTACTGATAGGAACTACCTGGTTCCACCAGCCCACAGGGGATTATTGTGTCCGTCCGTCCGTCGTGCATCCAAAGATGGGAGGGGTGGGGCTGGGTGGAGAGGGTGGGGAGGGGATGGGTGGGGGTGGGAGGGAAGGGGCTGGGTGGGGGGTGGGAGAGTGGGTCTGGGTGAGGAGGGGCTGGGTGGGGAGGGTGGGGAGGGGCTGGGTGGGGAGGGGCTGGGTGGGGAGGGGCTGATCACCCCGTGGTGCCCTTATAAAACTCAACGTTTAACCTACTCACGCCGGCTTGTGCCCGCCCTCACAGTCGGCCATATTTGCGGAATACACCACGCCGCCGTTGACCCTGGCCATTGACCGAGCAACCCAACGTTCCTACCAGCTCCCTCCGCAGGAATGTGTTAATGTTCTTTACAAAGCACCATTACAACCTTCGCATTCAGCCTCTTCGATACGAGAGCGTCCACGTGGTTGTTGGCAGCCATGCCGCACGTGGCCACCTGTGATCCAGCGCTGTGGAGGCAGCGGCGAGGGTTGGTGGATCACGCGCAGATGGGCTGCGAAATTCTCTTCCCGTGGGCGTCGAGGGGAGAGCCGTAATCCTGGCTCGCTAGGAGATGGCGGTTACGGACAAAAATAAGTAAAACCCGTAAAAACAAAGTTTTTCACTATAAATCCTTTATATGCGTGGCGGCTAGAGTCCTCTCGTCCTCTGGCTTGAGATGGCTGCCACCTATGGGTCAGATGATTGCACTGCACCATTAAGCAATTGGTAATTAAATATAATATTTTTGTCCTAAAAAGTGTAAAATTTTGGAGAAAAAAAATTCACGAACATTAATTGTCACGCACAACGAGTCTGTGTGGAAAATGTCAGCTCGATTGGATCACGGGAAGTGGGTTAAAAAACGATCGAAAGATTTGCACGGTCCTAAGCAAGCAAGCGAACTTAATATAAAGGATTTAAAAAACGTGGACTCCGTCTGGTTGCGTGTGTAGGGGATAGAGTGTTTCCCCCTCGCACGCGTCGGTTTTCTGCGGGTGCTTCGATTTCCCTCCCCCTCCCCCACATATACTCACATTTAATTGGCCGATAATTGAATATATCGAGGACCTCAAAGCTCGGGCAATCGGTCCTCATCCAGCAGTGGATTGACAACCGTGCACGTCATTGGAACCTCATTTGCCAGTAAAACAACATGATAATTGTTTTTTTTACCCTTCTATCTGGCAACAAAACTGACACCTTTTTTGGTTCTTTCGGCGTCATCTGGTCCAACCCATGTGAGACTAGGCTCTAAAGAAAGATGTCTCGGGTGTGGACCAATCAACTTCAAGGACAGTGCATACATTATCAGAGTTGTGTTTTTTGTTTGCATTATGACTGCAGGTATTGTGGTCTATGTAAACATGACTCCTTGTAAAAAAGGTGTCAGTTTTGTTTGCCAGATAGAAGAGTAAAAAAAAACAATTAATCGTGCACATGTTTAGCGGTTTCGTCTGCGACGCGGTATCCACTTGCCAACGTGGGAGAGCCTTCAGCTGTCAATTCAGACTCCCCCCCCCCCCTCCCGGTTCACGTTACCTTTAAATGTTCCCATTCTCAACTCCACGGCGTAGCCCCTGCAGCCGGTAGCCCACCGTTTGCCATGCGTGATGGTCACCCATCCACAAAGCGATAAGGGGCCGTCCATAAATGACGTCACGCACCTAGGGGGGGGGGGGGGTCAGACATTTGTGACGATGTGTGACGAGGAAGGGGTGGTTGAGAAATGTGAAGTCACATCAAAATGCGCAACTTTAAATGAATATAGACAACACGTTCTACTTAATTAGACTTTTTAAATAAATGTTTTCTCCTACAACATCAGAATGCAGCGCCACATTAAATACGCACTACAATGACAAAAGCTGAAAGCGACTTGAAGCATGTTTTATTTTCAAAATGGAAATATGTTTTTTTGCGGGGGGGGGGGGGGGCAGAGCTTTGTGACGTCATATTTGAGGGGGAGGAGGTCTGACTTTTTGTGACGCCGTGTCACGAGGGGGGGGGGGGGTCAAAAATAGTCCAAAATCGCGTGACGTCATTTATGGCCGGCCCCGAAGTCCAGGCTCACACCTGCTTGGCTCCGATAATCGGACGAGATACCTCGTGATACGGTCATAGGCCCGTCACACGCAGGCCACCCTCACACGCAAAGACAAAGATCCCCCGTGTAGCCGGCACAGACTGTTGAGGCAAGTGCCATTAGCGAACAGCACCTATGAAGGCCGGCACGGCACACTAGGGGGTGGGTGGCCAGCACCACGCCGCCTTTGTCTCTCCTCCTGGCGATGTTCACACACCGCAACCAGGTACTCATTTGAGGCTGAGTCGACCTAGGGGAGGTCCAGAATCGATTCGGATCGTCGTCACCGGTGTTGGCCGTGAGCGGGAATCGAACTCGGGTGGCAGGATTCACACACACACACACGCCGTCTTGCTGGTCCCCCACCCCGCCCGCTTCATGCGGTGGTAGTAGATGCGTTAGAAAAAGCTCACGAAGTGAAACTGCACGGGGAGGCAGATGCCGAGTAGCGCACAAGGTAACACGCCCAGAGCACACGCAGTAGGCGCACTGTCACACGCAGTGTACACACGCAGTACACACACTGTCACACGCAGTGTACACACACAGTCCACACAGTAGGCGCACTGTCACACGCAGTGTACACACGCAGTACACACACTGTCACACGCAGTGTACACACAGTACACACACAGTCCACACAGTAGGCGCACTGTCACACGCAGTGTACACACGCAGTACACACACTGTCACACGCAGTGTACACACGCAGTACACATGCAGTCCACACACAGTACACGCAGTACACACACAGTAGGCACTGTCACACGCAGTGTAGACACACGGTACACGCAGTCCACACAGTACACACACAGTAGGCGCACTGTCACACGCAGTGTACACACGCAGTACACACACAGTACACACCGTACATACAGTCCACACACAGTACACACACTGTCACACGCAGTACACACACATTGCACGTAGTACACACACAGTACACACGCAGTACACACACAGTGCACACAGTACACACACAGTGCACACAGTACACGCAGTGTATAGTACACACACAGTACACACACCGTACACACAGTGCACACAGTACACGCAGTACACACGCATGACACAGTACACACAGAGTACACACGCAGGACACAGTACACACGCAGTACACACGCATGACACAGGACACGCAGTACACACGCATGACACAGGACACGCAGTAGACACACGTCCAACCGTATAGCCTAGGGTCGGCAATCTGCGGCTCTCTAAGGAACTGTCTCGTATTCACCACTTAATGCATTGCGGCTCTTGAAATACAGAGTTGTGTTTTTTTTATATACCGAATTCGAACAAAATGCCTCTTCTTGTTAACTTGGGTTGCCGATCCCCTGGCGAAGCCGCATCTAAGTGAATTAAAACTGCACAATACAGCGAATAGTTGGGTAGAAATAGGTCAGCGGCTTACACAGCGCAAAATCGCGCGAAGCCAACCCGCGAAAAG